CATACATATAATATATTGGATAGCAATTGTTGATAACAGACGAAAAATAATGAGAGGTCATGCCTTTTCTAGCGATGTATAATGTAATCATCTAATAAAGTATAGATGATGTCCACAGACTATTCTAGAAAATCCAATGGAACACTGGCAGTTTTGCAAACTGTACATTATGAACTATTTGTTCATGTGATGTACTCTATTTTCCCCCACGGTTGCCTTATTTCAATGGAATCTCCGAAGCAGTATTGTCTACCTAATGTTTTTGATGATCTTAGGACAGCTCCTTAGAGATCAATATATAAGAAAAGGAGATGGGTAATCTCTGATGTGATGTTACTTGTTCATTGCTTACTTGATAGATCCTGATGTAGACATTGGGGGTAGTGAGGTGTCTTGAATAACAATAGTTACCAGAAATATAAGACTAAGACTTAGTGATGTATATACCTAGGTCATATACATGGAAAAACTAAGGAATTAGGTGAAGCTCTACCCAAATCGCAAGTGATCAACATTAATAACTGATTGTAGAGTTACTTTCAACTTATATATATATATATATATATATATATATATATATATATATATATATATAAACTATTTAGATAATTAAATGCCATGTGTGATTATTATATGTGATTATGACATTATGTACTAGATGAATCAATATGAGATGATTTTTCTTTAACCGTATATGTATTTTCATACATATAATATATTGGATAGAAATTGGTGATAACATAGGAAAAATAATGAGGAGAGGCCATGCCTTTTCTAGCGATGTATAATGTAATCATCTAATAAAGTATAGATGATGTCCACAGACTATTCTAGACAATCCAATGGAACACTAGCAGGTTTGCAAACTGTACGTGATCAACTATTTGTTCATGTGATGTACTCTATTTTCCCCCACGGTTGCCTTATTTCAATGGAATCTCCGAAGCAGTATTGTCTACCTAATGTTTTTGATGATCTTAGGACAGATCCTTAGAGATCAATATATAAGAAAAGGAGATGGGTAATCTGGTAAATTGTTTAATATGAAATATGTAGTTAAACAAATTAATTATGTTATTGTGGGTTGAAAACTGTGTGTAGTTTAGTTTCTTTGTATAATAGGTACCACTATGAAGGTATATGATAGTGATGTGTGGATCTAATGATATATTCGAAAAAATGTAGGCTACTAGTATAATAAGATGTTGTAAGGCATGTTAAGACAAGTTTATGCTTATGTTTTGTATCAGTTATGACATCACAAGTAAGGCTAACGACTTGCGTTTTAGGTGGCTATTTTTGGAAAAACACTAATTTTTTTCTATTATTGGCTAAGTCATTAAAATATTTTGCTATTTTTTAAAGTTTTTGCCCACCATGACTGAAAAATGCATGTCTATTTGAAGGCAAATGATATTTCTAACCCATTTACAACTTTAGCCCCCAACTGTTATTACTTTGACATTTTAGAGGCATAAGTCTATAAGGCGACATTAGTGGATTCCACATGGATATGATTACCTTCTAACACATAACATGGATATGATTACCTTCTAACACATACTCGAAGATTCCAGCAATATCCGACCATTTCCCGTGAATTTTGAGTTCTCCGGAGAGAATAAACTCCAATAAGGTGGTGTTTTGCTCTTCCCTTTTATTTTTCTCTTGTTTTCTGACCTATATTTAACATTAATTTCATTTTTTTGTGATTTTAAGTAAACTACGGTGGTGCTCTCACAATTTCCGGCGGCTAGAAGATTTTTCCAGCAACCTTCGCTTTTCTTGCGACTTTCCATTTACAGGCAACAACAGGTTCGACTTCTTTTTATTATTATTATTTTTTTATTTTTCTGCTGATAATATATATGAAATGTATGTGAAATTTATATATTTTGGAATGTGAAATTTGCGTATTTTGGTATGTGAAATTAGATGAAATATATGAATGTATATGTAAAATGTGTATGCAAATATGTATGAAAAAAATGTATACCTATGTGTATGAAAAAAAATGTATATGTATATGTATGTATGAAAAATGTATATGAAAATGTGTGTATAAGTGTACTTCTATGTGGAATATATGTGTACGTGTATATATATGAAAAAATGTATGTGAAAAAATATATGTATATAAATTGTAGGCATTTTTATGTGAAAAATGTATGTGAAAATATAGGTATTTATATGAAATGTAAGAAAAGTATATGTGAAAATATAGGCATTTTTATATAAAATGTATGTGAAAACATAAATATTTATATAGGGCTACGTACCACAGACTAACTTTAGACTTATGAAATATTTATTATTATTAGCTGGTATATTAATATTAATTATGGGTAACAATTTTAAAGATGTTATCATTATTAAACAAATATAAACTTGTTTTTTTTTTTTTTTTTTTTTTTTTTTTTTTTTTTTTTTTTTTTTTATGAAGACTTTATTTAAAAATCATCAAATAAATTATATTTTAAAAAATTTAATAACATAAAATGTTATCGTATCCATACAAAAATAGTAATAACTTACTATTTTAAATAAAAAAAAACTAAAAATAAAATAAAAGACATATGTAATAACTAAGAGACATTAAAAATGAAAAACATTATATCTTAAAAATATGCAATTGGTTGATTTGATGACTTGGGTTGTTAGAAATATACCGTCTCTATTTTTTCAAAAATAATTCTACTAATGTGACCACGCTAAATATGAAAAAAAAAATAATGATATATATATATATATATATATATATATATTATATATATATATATATATATATATATATATATATATATATATATATATATATAATGTTTAAATTACAATGGTATAAGAAAATACAAAATGAAAAATTAAGATGCTAAATCTACTAAGTTATAATTACTCAAAATAAAAAAATAAAACAAAAATAAGTTGGGATTAAAAATCAAAATATGGAAAAAAAAAATGATATAAATAACAAACATATAATATCGTTGAAAGTATAATGCCATAATAAAAAATAAAAATCAAAATTAAGAAGGTAAATTACAATGGTATAATAAATAAGTTATTTTTAGTTTAAGTCTCGTGTTTTTAAATCATCAAAAGCTTAGAAATACCCGTCCGAAATTGATTTAGAAATTTATTTCGGGTTGTCCTGGTTTCGGACTACTTTTTGAGTACCTTACCTCATTTAGGATGTAAATGTGTATTACATGATTGATTGTTTAAGAAACATTCGGTTGTTATTTTCTTTTTGCTCCTCGGTATATAATTTTATATATACTTAGGAGTTAAGGGAAATGTTGCCGAATTTTTCTTAAACGGTTAAGGTATTCAAAAAGTGGGTTTAGAAGCCTACCCTTATTAGTACTCTCTCATTGTCGAAGACATACCGCGTAGTAATGAAATGACCGATGTTATTGATGATGTTATGGGGATGTGATTGAAAGTGATACCAACCGCGATGAAGGGAACCCAAATACTGACAATAGAAGTGTCGATGATGGACTTCAAAAGCTGTTAGAGGAAGTCCAATGTGATCAAAAACTGATGCATACCAATGTGATCAAAAACTGGACTGATAGTTCATTCGATCAACTTCTTGAGTTGTTGCAAACTGCATTTCCTCAAGGACAAAGGGTCCCCCATCACATTACGAAGCAAAAAAGGCACTTAAAAAGATCGGGTTGGGTAATGAGTCGATACACATAACGACTAATTTCTTTTCTTGAAAGAACACAAGTTATTGCAAAAGTGTCTAGTTTGTAATGAGAGTAAGTGGGTTGATGAAAATACAAAAGGTAAGAAGGTGGCTGATAAGGTTTTATGATACTTTCTTGTGACCCCCAGACTACAACGTTTCTCATGTTCTAGACACACGGCTAAAGGTATGATTTGACAGTACTGGACGATCCAAAGATGGTACGATGCTTCATCCCGTTGATGGTACTTCATGGAAAAAAATTCAATATGAAGTATCCTAACTTCTCGAGGGAACCCCGAAATGTACGCTTAGTGAATTCAAATCCTTACATCCTGAAAGTGATAAAAAACCGAATTCCCTAAATGGTTCCATCATAAGGTTTATGATCTGCAAAAACAAAAATCTCCAGAGTTTAACAAGGAGTTATCAGCTCTTTCAATCAGTGTGCATGCAAATGCCTTCACTTAAACTGCTTGCATAGTGAATGGTGTTATGTTTATGGTACTTATGCGTGACGCCCAACGATCAACACAAAACTCGGGGGTTCTAACTAAGGGAGAGAATAAGCATAAATATTATGGACAGCTAGAAGAGATTATCGAGGTTGCATTATCCTCATAAATATTCCACCGTACTTTTTCGTTGCAAGTGGTTCGATACTGCAGGAGTTAAATCTAATAATAATTTCACCAGTATCGACCCACAACGCGAATTGAGTAGCGAAGATTAACTCATATTTGCTACGTAGGCCAAACGAGTATTTTACATCCAAGAACCTTCTCGAAGTGACAAAAATGACAACCAACGGTGGGTTGTTGAAAATGTTAATCATAGAAAAATTTGGGATCTACCGATGAACAATGTCAACCATGATCCCATTGAAAATGTCGACAATGATTCAACCGATGTCGTTCTTATTAATTTTTCTTCTAATTTCACTCTCTCAATCGACTTTACCCAGTACTTTCAAAATTCTCAATCGGTTGAAGATGATATTGAAGTTGACCCACCAACGAGTATCATCAATAATGTGTCTGATTGCGAGAACGATTATGATGAAGACGATTCTGATTATGATAGTGACGTGTCAGCAGACAGAAGTGTCTGGGGGCGAGAATTATTAAAAAAATCTTTACATTTGAATAGTAAAATAAGGTTTGTATTTGTTGTAATCGTATCATATATATATATATATATATATATATATATATATATATATATATATATATATATATATATATATATTCATATTGTGTTATAATTTTTTAGGTTGTCCTTTTTTTGGATTGCATTGCTCCATCTCATGACTGCTGTGATGGGCCATGGAGGTGACATTGGTGACGAGCAACCACATCCGTTCGGCGGAGCTTTTGGTGATCACCAGAACGATTGTAATTAAGATTTATTCTAATTCATTTTCTTTCATATTGTATCTATATAAAAAAAATATTTTGACTAATATTTCTATTATGCAGCGGTGCCTCCGAAACAAAGAGGCATGACGATAAATAAAAAAATGCACAGACTATTTAAAGCTAACGGTGAACGGCCTCTTAAGATATTATTCGACATAAATACTAACATGCCGATTGGGGACGTATACGGATGTTTCATTCGGGAGGTTGGGAGCTATATGTGGCGGGACATCAGTTTTGATAAAGACACATTGACAGACGAATCTGAAGTTGAAAGGGTTGGAATGTTGTAATATCTTTCGGTAAATTATTTATAAAGTAATATATTTAATTTTTTTTTAATTTTGATTTATTTTTAATTTCACTATTTTTTTTGTAGAGATGGTTTGATTTTGGCGGGATTACAAATCATCCCATGGCTCTACCTTATTGGATGTCACTGAACAATCAGATATGTGCACGGTATAGAGGCCGCGAAAATATTGCAAAAAGTAGTTTGATTGATTTTGCAGAGGGGATGTGGAGGCAGCAAGGGCTCGAGCCCCTACGGGTATGGATCATCAGTGTTGGAATGTTGTTATTGACCATTTCTTAACAGAAAACATAAAAAACGATCCTCTGGAAACAAAGAATGCCGACACAAGCAAGTAGTAAAGAATCATGGAGGGACATGCAGCTATGGTAGTGCTTGTTTTAAGAAAGTAAGTTACAATAATGTTTATTCAGTTATAACATATTTTTTAATGTTTATTCAAATATAATATATTTTGTAACGTTAAACAGAATTTGAATAGACTTGAAGTATTTCATCGCGTGCATGTGAATAAAAAAGGGGAATTTGTTGATCCTTTGGTTGAGAAGCAATATGTAAGTTATTATTACTTAAAAATGAAGTAGATTGCTGATTTTTTTTATGTTGGTTTTAACGTATATTACCAATCTTTGTGAAATACAAAATGTCTTAGTTGTTGAGGTTGCTCTAGAGACTCATCACATAGTCAACTCTGGTGGTGATCCAGACACCATTGAATGGATCACAATATTTAAGAAGGTGTTGGATACATAAAGGGGGCATGTGAGATGCGTTGGGCCTAAAGCTTCTTCGGTTGCGGGTATAAGTGCTCCATCCCAATGGCAGTGACAATCACAAGCATTGCAACCAGCACATGTACTTGTTAAATTCTTAAAGAATTTGGTAGCTTTGTATATTGTTAATAACTTGATGTATTTTTAGTAATTTTTGGTAGCTCGATAGTTTGTTAAATTGTTAAAGATTTAATTGATTTGGTAATAGTTTGTTAAATTGTTAACGACTTGATTCATTTGGTGCATTGATGGTTTGATAGTTTGTTGAATTGTTAATGACGTAATGTGCTTGTGACTTAATTGTAGGATGTTGATGTGAATGTTTTTCTTCAAAACCCGACATTTGTGATAGCCATTGGAGACATTATCCGCTCCTTTAAAAACAAAGTCAACAACAACGAGGTTAACAATGATGGGGAAGACGAAGACGAAGACACATAGTATTTTTTGTTTTATGTTACGGATGATGTTATTTTTGATTTATTAGATATTTTATGGATTATATATTAGATGTTTATTTGAGATTTATTAGATATGTAATATGGTATGTTTGATGTTTTATGTATTGTGGTATGTATTTATTTATGTATTTTTATCAAAACTGCGTTTTATAATATATATAAACTAATATTAAAAAATATATGTTTTTCCTCAAAAAAAAAAAAAAAAAAAAAAAAAAAAATTAGCAGTGACACCTTTAGGAACGACGTTGACTAATTGCGATGACATATAACTCCGGGAAGCTTTGCCGGAATATCAATAGAGACGACGTCAATAGCGACGACGCAATAGTATTAGAGACGACATGTATTAGAGAAGACCGTATTTGCGACGACAAACGAATATTAGCTACGAGGTATTTACGACGACTCTTTAGAAACGACATATCGTCGCTAATTCTATTAGCGACTATGAATGGTCATCAATTGCGACGACTTGTGTTGTCGCTAAAGGCTACAATTTTTGTTGTGTATGTTTACCCGGTACCGGACGACTCAAAATCCTGAATTTCATGATGGTACAATACCGCTAACCATTTCCGTACTAGCACCATACAGACGACTCAAAATCCTGAATTTCATGATGGTACAATACCGCTAACCATCCAATATAAGCAATATTAATATTTTTACCATTTAACAAAAAACTGTTTGGCCAAGGGGTATCATGAGAGCCAAAGGTTAAATGTTCAACTCACTTGTAAAACCAAAAATAGACTTAAGATTAGATTAGTGGATGTGTGTATAATCCGTTAAAAAAATATTTTCCCATTAATTTATCAACAACCTATCCTAATAAAAGACACTTTTGACAGTTTCATATATATATATATATATATATAGAGAGAGAGAGAGAGAGAGAGAGAGATTAAAAATATCAATATTACACGCCTGGAGAATTAATAATTATAATTCTTTCATAATTTTATAAAGCTATCTATTGTTTAACATATTGGTTTTAAAGCTAAAAAAGAAAAAATAAATAAATAAATAAATAGTAAATGACATGGTAATGGATCGTAGTTGCGAAACCTTAATAGAGATTGTCTTTCAATCAATAGTACCAATTGTTGTCGAAAACATTTGTGTAAGAATCCGTCAAACTGTTGAACCAATAAAATCCTTTTGGTTTATATTGTTTATTCAACTGATGAATCAGACTTTCATCCACCAAAGACCTGATTTAAGACTCACAAATATAGAATTAGCAATGAAATGAAACATAAGAGAGAGAAGAATGAGAACCTTGAACATGAGAATTTTAATGGGGAAAGCAACTATACTTGTTCATTTAATTGTTTCACTCCACATACAAAAAATCTACACAACTGAAATTGACTTGATTTCAGATTCAAGGTTCTTGACTGAAGCTGACACTTTGGTCTCACCAACCGGAATTTTTGAACTTGGGTTTTTCAGGCCAGAAACCTCTGAGAACAAATACATTGGTATTTGGTACAAGAAATCCGTTCAAACAGTGGTTTGGGTCGCCAACAGAGACTTCCCACTCCCTGGTGCATCATCGGGCATACTGAAGATCATCTCTCCAGGAAATCTTGTCCTCATTAACGACACTAATGATGTAGTATGGTCAACCAATACAACGTCATCAGTCAACGCAATTGCACAGCTTGACGACAACGGAAATCTAATTCTAAAAGAAATAATCGATGAGAAGATTCTCTGGCAAAGTTTTGATTATCCAACCGATACACTTCTACCTGGCATGAAGTTAGGGAGAAGTTTCTTGACGGGTAAGGAATGGCATCTATCTTCATGGAAGAGTAATCAAGATCCAGCTCCAGGTGAATTCACATGGAGCACTGACACAAACGGCTTTCCTCAGATCCTACTTAAACAAGCTACATCAATCAGGTTTCGGATTGGACCATGGAATGGTATATGGTTTAGTGGGGGTTCTGGGGTCAACCGGAACATCATTAATGCAGACATGGTAATTAATGGAACCGAAGTGGTTTACAGTTATCTTCTTCGCAATAGTTCTGTAGTCTCAAGACTCGTATTGAGTTCCTCTGGCCAGCTAGAACGTTGGGTCTGGGTGGCTGATGGAATGAAATGGCAGCTTTTCTTTCAGTTACAAAGAGATTTCTGTGATGGATACAACATCTGTTATGCTTATGGAACCTGCAGCGTTTTGAACTCACAAAGATGTGGTTGTTTAGATGAGACAAGGTTTGTGCCCAGAAACCAGAAGGGATGGGAGATAGCAGATTGGTCGGGTGGTTGTGTGAGGCGAACACCATTGGATTGCAGAACAGATGGGTTTATCAAGTATTCTCATGTGAAATTGCCGGATTCACGGACTTCATGGTATAACATGACAATGAGCAGGAATGAATGTGAAGAAAAATGCATCAAGAATTGTAGTTGTATGGCGTATTCAGATACAGACATCAGAGGTGAAGGAAGCGGCTGCTTGCTTTGGTTCAATGATCTTATGGACATAAGAGTCTTCTCTCAGAGCAATAATGGGCAGGATATTTTTGTAAGAATGGCTTCCTCAGAATTAGGTATTCATATCTGTACAAAAACATAATTTGAATATGTTATCAAATTCATGTTTTATCTCAACTTTTAAAATTAAATTACTTATTTCATGATTATTATTGCCACTCAATCAGTTCACGAGAAGCAGGAGAGAGCAAACCTCAAGATCATCTTACCGGTAGTTTTTCTTGGGGTTCTTCTGATAGGCTTGAGCTCTACATGGTTCCATTACGCATGTAGAAAAAGGCATGATCAACAACTGAGTGAAGGTAAGAAAAATTCAAGATTTTAACTGTAAATTGGTTGTAACCTAATAGAAAGAAGAGTAATATGAAATCTTGAAGGGTATTCTTGCATTTTCAATGCACAGGGGAATTCTTGGATGTTGGTCAAAGCCAGAGAGATACAATGGAGCTACCATTATTTAGCTTTTCTACATTAGCTAGAGCTACTGCTAGTTTTTCACTAAATAATAAAATTGGAGAAGGTGGATTTGGATCAGTTTATAAGGTAATAATAATACATAAAGTTGTGTAAGGAATTCATCTTCACTATTTATATTGTTTTTTACATGGCCAATAATGATCTCTAGGGTGTGTTAGAAGAAGGATTGGAGATTGCAGTTAAGCGTCTATCTACGACTTCAAGCCAAGGACTTGATGAGTTTAAGAATGAAGTCATTTGCATTTCAAAACTTCAGCACCGAAATCTTGTTAGACTCCTCGGATGTAGCATATTGGGAGATGAAAAGTTGTTGATCTATGAGTACATGCCAAACAGAAGCTTAGACTTGTGTTTATTTGGTCAGAATCACATATATAACTGCCATTAATTTAACATTTAGGAATTAAACATTCTCTGGAACTGAATATGACTACATCTTTATGTTGGCCAGATAAGACACGAAGCACCCAACTTGACTGGACAACCCGTTTTAACATTATCAAAGGAATTGCTCGAGGACTCCTTTATCTGCATCAAGATTCACGATTAAGAATCATCCATAGAGATCTCAAAGCTAGCAATGTTTTACTTGATAAAGACATGAACCCTAAGATATCAGACTTTGGGATGGCTAGAAGCTTTGGAGGAAACGAGTCTCAAGCAAACACACAGAGAGTTGTTGGCACATAGTAAGTGAGACAATCCAACTGTGTGTGTGTGTGTATATATATATATATATATATATATATATATATATATATATATATATATATTCTACTTCTCTTGAGTTCATTTAATTTATCGTGTGCAGTGGTTATATGTCCCCGGAGTATGCATTAGATGGTGTTTTCTCATTCAAATCCGATGTATTTAGCTTTGGTGTTTTAGTGCTAGAGATAGTGAGTGGAAAGAGAAACAGGGGATTCATTCATTCTGAACATGAAAATAACCTCCTTGGACATGTAAGTTTATCGGCCACAAACTACTCCTTAGATTTATAAAAATATATCCTCCAACTATTTTTACAATAATTTTATTTAGGCATGGAGAATGCATAACGAAGGCAGGTCAATGGAACTTATTGATACGACTTTAGGCCAATCAAGCAATTCATCAGAAGTTATAAGATCAATTATAGTGGGGTTGTTATGTGTTCAGCAAAGCCCAAATGACAGGCCAAACATGTCATCTGTTGTTTTAATGTTGGGCAACGAGGGTATACTGCAGAAACCGAAGCAACCAGGTTTTTTCGTAGAAAGGATCTTACATGGTGGGGATATTTCTTCAAGCAGTTACCCAACGAGTTCAACCAACGATTTAACTGTTACAGAGGTAGTTGCTCGATAGAAAGAACATATATGGCTTCAACTTCAAGTCTTGTTGTTTTTGTTTTCGTTAGCTCCTTCAAATATACAACTATCTATTATCTCTGTTTCAAAACTTATCTACCACAATGGTTTAGTGTCAAAAAGATAGTTTAATTATGCGTTTTTTGGTTGAAAAAAAATTAACATGAAGCCTACTTTTGAGCTTAATAAGTTTACATTCCCGATATCCGATTTGCGAGTGCGATATGCCAACTAAAAGAATTAGTTACAAACAACGCATTTTAGGAAAACAAAAAATGTTAATCCGAGTTCAAACGAATAGTTTGTAGTAGTGTTAAAATGGTGCTCTATGTTTTTTTGCCACTTGTTACAAACAACATATTTTATAAAAAAAACATGTTATTTGGGAGTTAAAACCAATAACTTGCAGTAGTGTTAAAATGGCATTATGTGCTTTTTTGGCAGGTTTTATTTTATTTTATTTTTTAATTTTTTTTTACATGAAGCCTACTTTAGAGAGTATAATTTGTACTGTTTTAGAAACACTACGATAAAATCAATTATATTAGACATTAAATATAAGGGTTGTTTAAATGAAATGTAGGATATACACTTTCATTATGTGAACCACTCCTAGAAGCCCCTATGTTATTCATTGTCCCTAGTATTTCTTGTGTGCTGTGATCCATTCCCCAAAGGACATCCCGGACAATTATTTATCATATGTCCTATGTGACCGCATGTATAACACTATTTTCTTATTGGACGCTCACCTTGTGATAGAATACATTCTGTGTTTATAGACCTCCTATGTCGGGGTGTCAGGTTGATATTTGTCTATTATTATTATTATTATTGGCCTTACAATCATCTCACCATCGGAGATCTCCCAATCAGATAGGGTTGGCAATGGTTTTACAAGTTCCTCGTAGCTATTCACCAATGTCTCGGTATAGAAAGCTTTCTATAGCATACAACACACATTCTTCATAATTGTTGATCATTTTCACTTGAAATTGACCTAAAACGGGTAGGCATCCTAGGAGGCGTCTTAGATGTGTTCTAGGACGTCCCTAATATTTGTTGGCCCCTTTTGGTGATAAAAACGGTAGAATCTGCAAAAATACATAACATGAAAGTTGTAGCAAATTTCGTCTACTTTTTTAAGCGTCTTCCTTCATGTCAATCGGAGCTCTAGATCTTGAAATATGATCAAAACATTGAAGAGTGGTCAAATTTATGATCACCATTTTTCTTCATTGTTTTAACAATTCATCTCCCATGCTTGTTAGCTTCATTTTGCTCATTTGTCTTGTGGCTTCCGCCCACTTTAGCAATAAATATTTACCTGTATATGAAGTTCAACAACTCATTAAAGTAGTATCATTCATGGACAATTATACATCATTTCAACAAATTTATGACAATTTAGTACATTTATAAAATGGACTTTATCAGGCTGCAACCCAAGATGCCTCAAATCTAAGCCCAAAAAATCCAATTTATTTTAAAATAATTCATTTTGAAGACTTAAAAAATAAATAAAATAAAAAAAATAAAAAAATTTAAACTAAAATAATAATTTTTTTAAAGTTTTATATTTTTAGCAAAATAAAAATAAAAGTAAAAATAAAATTGAAATTAAAATGAATTAACACTAATTTCTCTTTTATCAATGCTAATATTATTTTTTTTGAGTTTGGGATCAATGTTTTTAGTCAAACTAAATCTGTTTATCGGTGGCTCCTCTTACATGAATAGATGGCTGGTACTACAATTGATACGAATGCAGCATCAAGGATTCGTCATCTTCATGTTGCCATTCCAACTTCTATGCTATCTGCAAGTGATCCTCTATTGACACAAACCTCCTAGCCTCCATTGAAATGGAGACAACATGATCCGAGGTCGGGAGTGCTTATTCGGGAACAGGCCGTACCGACACAGCCTGCAATAACGACAACAACTGCTACACCAACCGAACCGACCCTAGAAGGACCAAGCACCATGTTTGAACCCAGGAGGTCTTCAGATCCTAGAGGTTCCTCCCTCGCAAGGCCAATGCACAACATCGCCTATGTGAGGCTCGTAGTGGTCTTCACTGAACAAGAAGCAACAAGCCTTCCTTCTCGCGGAAAAGGCATATCAATTGAGGAAGGCAATTCAGGAGGAGTGGACCCATCTGTCCAAATGCTCAAGGAAGAGGTCGGAGTATTAAAGCAGATACTTACTGAAAACAATGTTTTGATAGGAAAACTCGACATTCGAGTTTTTGATCTTGAAGAAGAAACTAAATCAAAGTCAAAATAGATATCTGATCTCCAGACCCACCTTGGAGCATTGACCGTGTGTTACTTTGATTTGAAGAACAAGTTGGCAACAAAACTTGGAGACACGTTCATGACAAAAATCGAAGAACAAATTGCCACTGAAGGTTTTCCCATTGACCGTGCCCAAGCTTCACAGCAAGAATCCCCTGTTGATCCTCCCACTGTAAGAACAGCTCGAGTAGTTGATCGATTTGAACATGAGCCGGCTCAAGCTCCTCACATAGTTGCTTTGAAGCGAGCTCAACAAGCATCATCTTCTAAGTAACAAAAGTCGATGTTCAAAAGGAACTCAGATAAGAACGCTCACAAAGGTCAACCCCAACTCACTGTAACGGAACTCAAGAAGAAACGATTTGGTTGCAAGTATGGTGATCGGTCAAGAGTTTTATCATGGGGTTTTCATGACATGTTGAAGTTGTGGCTTGTGAAGCACAAAAGTTCGAGTGTGGAGTACTACAAGGATAAACATGAATTTTGTTCATGAACGAGAGTTGATATGTCTGAACTTGCAAATGCTCCCTTTGCTAATCCATCCAATGATCCACAGGTAACAGAATTCAATCTTTTCTGGAGAATCAAGTGAAAAAGGGTTTTACTGATATGAAGACTGCTGAATCTTTTATCAAGAGCTTCCCAGATGTGCTGGATCCAAAGACCAATGAGCCTTTGAAGACGATGATGTGGCCTCCTACTAACCAAGTGAGACAAATTCTTATTGTGCAGAACTTCTGTGATGGTTTACTAAGAAGTATGCTTTACTGGGTGTATGATGAAACCACAGCTTCTGCTGTAATTAGATTTCCTGAAGGTGTATTTCAGATATATGACAAGGATCTGCTTCAGTTTGGAAAATGTGATATACACTATCTGGCTCAACATCAAATCCAGGTTGTTGAAGATATTTTTGAAGCTGCTGCTAAGGAGTATACTTTGATGATTGCTGAGATTACCGAGAAGCATATGCGGCTTTGTTCAATAGGGAGGTCTGATGTGCTCATAATCGTGAAAGACTAAATCAATGCTAGCCCCAAACCAAGGGGAGATTTTTTGGTCACATTTTATGGTTTGGGCTAGTTTTCTTTATATATAAGTCTTGGTAGGGTTTTTGGTGTTGTTGCTTTTGTGTTTGCGATCGTGTAGGTGTTCAAAGTCGTGTACCTGTTCACAGCCATGAACCTTGTTTGTGGGTTGGTTTGTCCCTATATATACACGTCTATAAGAATGTGTCAATAACGTTAGCAGAGAGTCTGTTCATGGTGCTAAGTGTGTGTGCTCAAGGTGTACCTGATGTTTTGTTCAATAAACGTGTGCATTGCTTGACTAATCCTTCTCTCTACTCCATTATTCTTTGTTTGATTGATTACTTGTTTGATCACTGGTTTGGATCCCTGGAATTGGGACTCTATAGTTATCAATGGAACCTTATTATATATTAATATAACATCCTTCAAAATCGCCTGTGAAACCATGTAGTTTTGATGGAACCATGACCAAGAATCCATACACTTTTTTTTGTATATTCAAAATATATAACTTGTAATATGTGGTTATGCCCATCCATGGCAACTTAAAGTAATGTGGTACCCTTGAAGTTGTCCTTTAGGTGGGAAAGATCAACTACCAGGATCCTCTTAGAACACTTAAGGGAAAAACATACCTAAAAACATAAAAAATGTATTTAAAATTACTTATCATGTATCCACATCTAAAAAGTAATAATCCTTACCAAGAAACCAAGTGAGATATACAGGAACTCAAACTGATCAACATCATTTGTATGAATATACATCACCATTTCAGGATTATATTTCACAAAGTTATAGAAATAAGCGGGAGGTTTGTTAAATGAATCCTCTTTGGTACCCATTAACAATGTAAGCACTTGTTGTTCGACACACAAGCCTATTGGTATGTGTAATTTTGTACTTTGAATTCATATACATAAGGGTGTCATTTCCCAAATAGGCTTTGTTCATCATCAATTTTTGTGAGTTAAAGTCCATCACAGGATTTCATTTTATTTTCCCTAATCAACCAAGAATATTTTTCTTATACCAAAAAACCTCGAATCTTCATTTGGTCTATCTGGTTGTCTTTCGCTAAAAACCTCCCTCAAATTATTTATCTCTAACAACCACTTTAAAAGATTCTTTCCTTGATAATATTTGTAGAAATTCGATAATTGTACTATGCTTTTAACTCTTTGATGGTAGTTTAACTTGAATAAGGCCTATACATTAAAGTAAAGGGGGGATACTATACAATACAGTATCTAAAAACGTATATCTAGGTTCATCATCCGACTTTCTCTATCAGAATTACCTTTTATGTCAGATGTATCTAAACAAACTTCTACCGGATACCTGTAACCAACTAGATTAACATCATTAAGAAACATAACTTATTTTTGGTTTTTCATTTCATCTAATTCACTATATAATCACTTACACCTACATCATTAAGATATGTACCAACATCATTAACTATCTCTACAAAATACTATATTTTAGGATGTTGGCCTGGAAGGTGTAACACCTGTTCCAGGTATTAGTTGATTTAGTTAATTTTAGGGTTTTTGGTGAATGGATTACGCAAGTTGGGAGTCCAACTCATCGAGTAGGGGCATTTAATCATGAACTCGGATAGGGACCAACTCGACGAATTAGAAGGCCCGAATCAGCGAGTTGAAGCTATAAAGAGAAAACCCTAATCTCGGGGTTTGCCCCTATATAAAGATTATTAACTGCCCTTGTGGCCTCCCCTAGCACCTTATCACCCTACATAAAGTATTTTTCAGCTGTAAACACCGTTGAGTGAGAGTAAGAGCATTTGTGAGTAATTTTGGGGCATTTGTGAAGGATCCTAGAGTTGGAAGACGAAGGACCAACATGAGGAGCAGTAGATCTGGAAGTTACTCTGTATTAGCCATCATCATAAGGTAAAAAATCATCATCT